TAAAGCTGTGCGATTCACAGGACAGCACTGGCAGAGTTTATGGACGTCTAGGAAACTGAATTTACTATGTCGTTAGGCAGACACCCTAAGACTAATGGTCAAACTAAGCAAATGAACTGACTATGCCAACAAGTCCAACGAATTTATAACGAATTTATGTACGCCGCGACCAAGTCGACCAAATCGAACTTACCTAAGATTGCCAGTGCGTACAACAATTCAGTCCACATTGTAATAGGATGAACGCCTGACGCACTACACAAAGGATGGCAAACCTAAAACACCTATACACTCTCTAATAAGAGAGCAGGTCCAAAGGTTACCCGCCGTACCTGGAAATTTGCAGTTTTGTATGAATAAGTTGCACTGACAATCAAAGAGAATATAAAGAAAGTTCAGACACAAATGATTGAACAAGCTAACGAACACAGGAGACCCTCCCTCGATGTTCAAAGAAGGCATCTCGTCTGGGTCAGGTCGATTGGATTCTCTTTGTCTGAGTCACGTTGATTGGATTCTCTTTGGAAGAGGGAACTACACAGAGACTACTACCTGTCTATTTTCGACCATGGGAATTTCTCAAAGAAATTGGAGACCAGGATGGACCATCCTATTTCATTGATATTCCAGCGTACCTCATGACTTAGCCTGTCTTCCAAGCATCTAAGGACTTACCATAAACTGAAGGGAATGGTTTTCCCAGACCTCCATCTATGTTTCCACCGTCGATGGATGGAGGATATCAAGTTATCAACTCGAAAAGATTCTCAAACACGGGTTTTTCTCCTCCGGCGGAAGAGGAAGACCCCAAACACAGTTCACATCTCAACCTGAATCTGAAGATTACAGCTGCAGACTTATTGCAGGTTATGGACAAGGACTGAAAGCAAACGGACAAGCCATACCTGATGAAGAAAGAAGTTCTGCCATGGAAATCAAAAAGAATTTCTGCCATGGAAATCGAAATCAGGACGGCAAGAGTGCAACGAACACAGTTCAAAATCCACACAGACTTAGTCCACGGTTGTGGAGTTTTGGTCCAAGTCTAGATTTCCGGGTCAAAAGTTGTCTCCTGTCTTGCAGGGGTTTGACAAAAGTCCTTGGGTCAACAGGAACAGGGTCCAGGGTCAAACGAGGCTGCCCGTGCGCCACTCCAGGTGGTTGACTCCAAGAAAATCAGGAGTCAGGCTCAAACTTGGGAAAAGTAGGTGAAAAGTCAGAGATTTCTCAGGAGTCAACCACAGCCGCAGATCTAATGCACAATCAAAGGCTGTCTATACTCCTACAGAAGTTTCTAGGGCCTACAGGGTCTAGGCACACACTGGCGAATAGCAAATCTGCGACGTCCAGATTGAGAAATCTCCACCATCCGAGGGGCAAACTGAGGTAGGCCAGGAACGGTCAACTCTAGAGAAGAGTTGCCTTCCCCAGCGGCTAATTCATTCTACCTCGCATGCGTTGGTGGCCAGAGCGCTGCTGTGCGCTACAGGTGAAAAGAGATGGCAGGCGCCAGACAGAAGAAGGCTGCGCCAGCGCATGAAGAAGAGAGGGCGGGTGCCTGAGCGCCATTGCTGTAGGATGGAGGTAGGGCGAAGAAGATGGTGATCGAGACATGTCACCGGGGGGAGGGGGAAGGGAGGGAGAGAGAGAGAGAGAGAGAGAGAGAGAGAGAGAGAGCAGAGCGGGACATGACGACAGCTGGCAAGCTTAGAGGGCCTCTTGATCGTGCTGCGGCCAGATGATCATGGGGTCTCTTTTAGCGCACACTCACGGCACGAATTCTTTGTGCGTGGTTGTGCACGGAATCTGTGCGCGATTGCGGTCGGATGCATCCCAGACAATTCCAGCGTGTGAACATGCCCTTACTATGGTATCGGTTAGATAAGACCGCCACACAAGATCATGGCATAACAAATGTCTCATCATCATCATCATCATCATCATCATCATCAATCGTCATCAATCGTCATCAATCGTCATCAATCGCTATCATCAGCAGTCGTCATCAATCATCATCATTATCAATCATCAATCATCAGTCACCAATGCCATCATCATCATTATCATCATCATCAACTATCATTAATCATCATTATCATCATTAATCATCATTATCATCATCAATCATCATAGCCATCATTACCACTACTATCATCGACCATGATCATCGATCATCATCGATTCTAATCATCACATCAACACAATCACTGTCCTGTTTAATGGTAACCCGCGCTCGTCTGCTGACTGTCCATATGCAGAGTATCTGGCCCACATTGAGACCGCAGGCAAGTGTCTCATTAGCAATGATCTGTACGGGAGGAGGAACGGAGGAAGGGAGAGTGGAGACGGAGGGGGAAGAACGAAGCAATAGAGGAAAAAAGGAGAAGAGCGAGGGTGGTTTGGAGAAGCAGGCGTAGGAGAGTGGGGTTGGGGGAGGGTAGGCTAAGAACTGGGGTTGCAGACCCCGTTAAGACGATCGACGACCTCCAAACATGGCGCTGGCTTTCCCAAAATAGAAAAAGCAAGGGGCAAACAAGGAAAGAGTGCAGCAAAACCATCATAGCAAGTCCAGGGAACGCAAGGGGAACCTTGCTTCAAAAGGGACAAAACAAGAAAGACGTTTTACTACTACGTAGCTGCCGAATACGATAGATGATGAAAGACGGGGGGCCGGGGCGGAATGGGGGTGCGGGGGGGGCCGGGGGRGGGGGGGGGSGSGGGGSGGGGAGAGGGGKGTGTGGGGGCCAATTAGATCGATGATCCAATTGGGGCCACTGAGCGCTACCGTCTTCCCCAACCCCCGAATAGAACGCACAGTCGTTATAGCTGTATTTGGGGCAACTTCCAGACTACTCGGGGGGGAAACGGTAATGACCGTGCGTTCTTTTTGGGGGAAAACGGCGGCGGGGGGGAGGGGTGTCTGGGCCCTGGGGAGCAAATTAAACTGGAAAAAAAGAAAGATCGATGATCCAATCGGGGCTAGTTGCCACCGAGCGCTACCGTCTTCCCCACCCCCGAATAGAACGCACAGTCGTTATGTCTGTATTTGGGGCAACTTTCAGTCGATTCGGGGGGAGACGGTAATGACCGTGCGTTACATTCGGGGGAAGACGGTAATGACCGTGCGTTCTATTCGGGGGAAGACGGTAATGACCGCGCGTTCTATTCGGGGGAAGACGGTAATGATCGTGAGTTCTATTCGAGGGAAGAAGGTAATGATCGTCCGTTCTATTCGGGGGAACAAGGTAATGATCGTGCGTTCCATCGGGGGAACAAGGTAATGATCGTGCATTCTACTCGGGGGAAGAAGGTAATGACCGTGCGTTCTATAGGGGGAAGACGGTAGTTCACGGACGGTAGGCTGAGTTGCATTTCTGTGGGAGCAGAACACGTGGCACCACGGGCTGTTTTGAACCACACGCGCAGTGCCTGCCATCATAGCTGTATTTGGGGCAAGTTTCGGTCTAGATACGTGGCAAACCATCTGTCGACATAGGCTACTGTCTTCACTCGAATAGAAAGCCCGGCCATTATAGCTGTAGAAGGGGCAAATTTCGGTCTAGATACAGCTATAATGACCGGGCGAAGATGTTAGCAAGCAATCTCTCACTACTGGCCACTGCGATGGCGCGCTTAGGCCATACTCGTCATGACGGGATGGCGCGCTTAAGCCATACTCGTCATGACGGGACACTTTCAGCGGAATCTGGCCCTTACGGCCAGCCAGGAACATCCAGTGCAACTAGAGTCCGTCCTCGAGTAAGTTTGCCGTTGATCACACACCGTCAGCCACCGTTATTGAAGGGAAGAATATGACCCTCGATCGAGTCAGATGCATCCACGGTCCTCAAGGTGTGATCACGCCATCCATGACATAGGGCCTCGCCGCACTACTCACCAAATGTACAAAATGAGAATGAACCTTCCCCCAGAACATGGAAAGATGCACCGCCATCCTTTTTGTCTTTTGTTCATTTGGTGAGTAGTGCGGCGAGGCCCATCAACTCAACGCACAGCATTCCCTTTTTTTTCACTCTTTTTTTCACGTTGCAGCGCGGAGGCTGCTTTTATTGAGGCCCAGTGCCCAGGGCTGGCGATACAATGTAAATGGAGGGACAGTCGACTGATCCTGCCGAATGACCCTGCTGCAAAGCAACTATCAGATGCATGTCATTTCCGGCACCTATGTCAGCAAAATAGGAAAATACGTTCGGAGGCACTCACTGTTCAAGAATGCTTTCTTCACATGTTTTGCAGGGTTGAGAATGTTCATCCTCATGTGCTGTGTGTTCTTATGCTGAGCTGGGTCGCGAGTATTTCCCAATTGATTAGAGGACATTTTGTGTCATTTTCGCTGTACATCGTAAATTACCATCATCGATGGAGTTCTGTCATACTTGCAAGCGCACGTCGTGTGCACGCTTGCCTACGCACAACATTCTCGACACGCACAGGGCAGAAAATGGAGCATACCAAAGCTTTAAAAAAATATTTTAAAAATGCAGTCCATTTGCAATATACACAATAATTGGACACTGCAACTACCGGTAAGGCAACAATCATCCTTTTCTCCATTTGTGCGCGTCCTCGCTAAACGTGCAGCGTGAACAATAAAAAATAAATAAATAAGAAAAAAAGAAGGGACCTTGCTAATCTGCTCTCCTGTATCGTTCCAATTTCCATTTCTTTCTATCGTTCCAGTTTCGGTGATTTTTTTTTTCCCCATTCGCCTCGCCTCGGAGTAGAAAAATACGCAATACATACAGTAAATAGGGGCCATTCTGTTTTCTCTCTTTTTTTTTCCTTTTTTTCCATCCTCCTTGGTCAAGCAGGGGCCATGCTAATCTTCTTCTCTCTCTATCGGTCCAATTTTCGCGGATTCCCCTCCGGAAGAACGCCATTCTCGTCTGGAGAAAGCGGACGAAGGTTTGGAGATCAACACACACACGTGGCTCCCGAGGCGTTCAAAAACTCTTGCGAACTCTTAGGAGGAGACTTACCTCGGTGACGAGGTGGTCTGGTCCCACAAGCTCCCGCCCCCCCCCGCCCACTGTTTCCGCCAACCCCAGGTTCCGACAGCGCGTCCCCCCCGCCTGTCGATTCCGCTGACTCTGTCTCTTCTCGCCTCCCTCTCGAGCCTCGACGCACACACCTCCCCTCCAGTATATGTGCCACAGTGACGCGGCCTTTCAACTCCTCCTGCCCTTCCTCTCTAACTCCTCCTGCCCTTCCTCTCAACTCCTCCTCCTTCCCGTCCTCTCAACTCCTCCTCCTCCTCCCCCCCCTCCCTCCCTCCCTTCCTCTCTACTGCTCTTAGTTTCGTGCATCCGCTGCCTCCGCGCCTCTCAGCTTCTAGTTGCGGATCCGCTCTTTCGCGACGTTTCCCGGCCAAGCCTTCACCACATGTTTCCCGGCCAAGCCTTCACCACATGTTTCCAGCCCGGATTCAACTTGGCTCGCGTGGAATTAAAAGTTTCGGTTCGGTGGCAATTGCGGCTGTAACCGGGGAAACGCCTAATGAACGCGCCGTTGTGCCCTTGACAGGACAAGCGATCGCTGTTGCCGTTGTGACCGAGCTTCGGTTGGCCCCGTCCAAATTGTTTTGTTTTTCAACCGGATCCAGCTATGCTTGCAGGGGTCCCCTGTATAGCCTTAGGAGTAGTGGTAGGCAGTGAAAAGAAAGATATGTTCCATGACATGGCCTTGAGGTATTATCATCGGACTAACCAGCCCAGGTAAATTCAATATTGTGTCTAATCTGACATCGGGTGGTCTTTTCAGCCCAGGGTGGCCTTGATTGCCTTCAGGGAACCCCCAACGGGGGACACCAGCCAGGGGACAGCCCGTAGCAGAGGGACCGAACATCATCTGAGTGGCCTGTCGCTGCAGAGGGACCGAACATCATCTGAGTGGCCAGTCGCTGTGCCCATAGCAGAGGGACCGAGCATCATCTGAGTGGCCAGTCGCTGTGCCTCCCCGATTACCCCTCCCACTCTGCACATCAGCAGAGACTGCTTTTTAATGCCAATTGGTGCAATTAACGGACTATCTCTAGGTGGCGGGTGCCAAGCATGCCCAGGAAGGTACATGAGGCCAATGGGGATTGAACCCAAGACCTCCTGAATGCCACTTGCATGCCTTACCAATTATCTACCGCGTGGGCACGGGGAACGCAGCCCTAAGGTAGCCAAATCAATGAGACTAAGAGCTAACACAAGAGAGAGAGAGAGAGAGAGAGAGAGAGAGAGAGAGAGTTTCGTTCCATTTATTGTTATGAGTGTGAGAGAGAGGAAGAAATAGAGAGAGAGGGAGGGGGGGGCCTACCAGAGAGAGAGAGAGAGAGGGGGGGG